TATGGTCTCAGCTGTTTGAAAAGCCTTGTCCAGGGAGGCCATCAGCTTCCCCGTTCCTGTGAAAGACAGACAACCTAAGAGCCATGAATGCACCTGCGTCTCCCAAAGCTGGCTGTTCTGAAGTCACCTGAGGCCTTGCTTTAGGACTGCATCTTGCTTTTCATTGCAGGAAACTGAGATGCTTCTCTTTGGGAAGAAGCTCACAGCAAGAGAGGCTTGGGCTCAAGGTCAAGTTTTTACTGACAGCACTTGAAAGAAGTCTGGACCAGGCTGAGAGCATATGCGAAGCTCCCGCCAAACGCTAGTATTTGGTTTTTACTTGTGGGGATGTGTAAATCATTTCCAAAAGGGAAAAGATGTGCCGTAGGAGGACACATCCTGAAAAGACAAGTCAAGTCTTTAGTACCTCTGGATTTTGTATTAAAAGTTACCATATTGTTGGGAATAGTGACTCTCTTTTTTTTAAGAACTTACCGGACAGGTATTTGATTTCTGTGCTACAAGGGCAAATAGGAGATCCTTCATGGGGATGACTCAGGAGGGTGCCAGTAGACACCCAGCTCTTTCACTTTGGAATTCAGGTGGGAGGTGAGGAGGCTGACTATATTTAGGAATCCTCACTCTATTGCACCCTGGATTGTATAGGTAGTAGCTAGCAGCTGATTGCTCTTACATCCTTGCTGTTGAGTGTGTCATCCTGGAACCAGAACCTTTTGTATCCATCTTGGTCTATTTAGAATTGTGCAATAACAGATCTATTTCCCACACTCACTACAATGATCTCTGCGCATTCAGGGTTGGGAAGCAGTGTGTCCTAGTACACACATCTTAGAAAGATTTAACAGGATAGTTCATTGAAGGAGAGGAAGTCAATAGTAAAGTATATACTAGGGGGTGGTGTTGGTTAGAGACATGGCTTAGCAGTCAAGAGCACTTGTTGCTATTCCAGAGAACCCAGGTTTAATTTCTAGCACCCACGTATTGGCTGACCATCTGTAACCCCAGTCCAAGGGGACCCATCACCCTCTCTGGCCACTGTAGACACTATATGCACATGGCACATAGGCAAACAAGCAGACAAAACACACATACACACAATTTTTAAAATTAGTAATAGCCAGCAATAATGGTGTGCTCCTTTAATCCCAACTCTCAAGAAGCTGAGGAAGATGGATCTCTATGAGTCTGGGGCCAGTCTGGTCTATATAGTGTGTTCCAGAACAGCCAAGGCCATATCGTGAGACCCTGCCTCAAAACAAACAAAGGAATAGTGTAATATTATTCCTGTTTGAATAACTTTTATTGTTGGTTTCATTTAACCAAGGGATAAAAATTTCCAAAGAGCTGATGAGAAAAAACTGAAAAGCAAAAGCTCCATGCTGCAGATGCTGAAGAGAGCACTAGGATCCAGGAAAGGCTGACATCAAAAGAATGCACAAATGCACTCAAGAACTTTGAAAAGCAAAGCTCTGAAGACCACCACAGCAGGTAGATCTCTCAGAGGAAGGGTGTGCTGCAAGTTCTGGTTTCAGGTACTTGAACTATACACACTTCACTGTGTCTTTTTCTTTATTAACATAGCAGTTATGATGAGAATGTCTCCGTAATGACATAAAACAAGCCTTAAGAATTTATGTAGGATATCTAGAAATAAACCTAACCCATGAGGTGACAGATCTCTACAATGAAAACTTTAAATGTCTGAACAATGATAGAGAAAAAAACACTAGAAAATGGAAAGGCAACCCATAGTCATAAACTGGTAGAGTTAATATTTCAAGAATGACTTCTACCAAAAGCCAATTTTAAGTTCAATGTTATCCCAGTCAAAATCCCGATTAATTACTTGTAGAAATAGAGAAAACTATTCTAAAATCCATATGGATCCACAAAAGACCTCAGTATAGCCAAAATAAGCCTGAGCAAAGAGAGAAATGCTATAGGAATTACCATTTCAACCTCAAAATATATCACAAAGCCAAAGTAATAAAAAATATGATACTGGCACAAAAAGAACACATATGCCAATGCAACAAAATCAAAGACCTAAACATAAGTATAGGTAACTTTAGTCATATTTGACAAAGGTGCCAAAAACATCAAACACTAGGGAAAAGACAGCATCTTCAACAAATGGTGCTGGGAAAACTGGATGTCCACTTGTAAAAGAATGAAATTAGACCTATACCCATCATTTTGAACAAAAACTAACTCCAAGTGGACCAAAGACCTAAATGTGGAACCTGAAACACTGCTAGAGGAAAACATAGGTAGTGCCATACATGGTATATGTGTAGGAAAGCACTTTTTGAATAAGACCCTATTTGCCTAGGAATTGAGGTCAACAATTGACAAATGAGACCTCATAAAACTAGTTCAAACTAATCTTCCAAAAATCATTGTGAAAAATCCTCAAAACATTAAAAATAAATCTGCCATATGTCTCAGCTTTAACACTCCCTAGCATATGCCCAAAGGACTCGACATCCTATTCCACAGATACTCAGCATGTTTATTGCTGCTCTGTTCACAATGGTCAGGAAATGGGAACAGCCTGTCTTAGTCACTTTTTAAATGCTATGAAGAGACCCATGACTAGAGAAAGTTATAAAAGAATTTAATTGGGGGCTTGCTGACAGTGTCAGAGGGTGATTTCATGATAATCATGGTAGGTAGCATGACAACAGATAGACAGGCATTACGCTGTAGCTGTAGCTAAGAGGTTGTATCCTGATCTGCAAGTTGGTATGGGGAGAGAGAGAGACAAAGAGAGAGGGAGAGAGACAGAGACAGAGATTGGACCTGTCATGGCATTTGGAATCTCAAAGCCCATCCCCAACAAGGCCACACTACCTAATCTTCCAAAACAGTTCCGCCAAATGTGGACCAGTTATTCAAATATATGAGCCCTTGGGAGCCATTCTCATTCAAACCACAAAACAATCGAAATGTCCTTCAACTATCAGTGGATAATGAAAATGTGGAATACTATTCATTCATAAAGAAACATGAAATCATGAACAGGCAAATTAATGGAACTAGCAAAGGTCATTTAGTGAGGTAACCCAGACTTAGAGAGACAAACATCATGTGTTCTTTCTCATCTGTGGTTCCTAGCTCCAAGTCTTCAGATGTGAGGATATAGCCTAGAGTAACCGTAGTAACCAGGAAAGTGAAAGGGGACTACAGAGTGAGCAATAGGAACCTATTAGGTGCAAGTGATCTGAATGGGAAAATGAAAGTGTGTGTGTGGGTGCTCTAGTTAGGGAGGGAGAGGAAGATAAATACCAAAGAAGGAGAGTAACATAACAGGGTGTCTGAAAAAGTCATAAGGGATCTAACCCTAACCCTGAAAAAGTCATAAGGAATCATACTATTACCTAGCTACCTAAAAATACCTATAACACATGTGAGTCTAGGTATACGTACATAGTTTAAATGAAAATTGCCCATCTGAGCTGGCAGCTCATGCTCCTCCAAAGAGCCACAAACTATTTAACAAAACCCCCAAAAGTAATCATGAGGAACCTCCTCTTGCAATGTCCAACAGCCACCCAAAATGTTAAACACTGTTGCGGTTGCCCTCGGTTCTTTCCCAGAAGTAGAAAGTAAGTCCCTATTGCTGAAGACACCGTGTTTAGTGAGAGACCCTGATCACAGGTACTGCTGACCAAATGGGCATGGCCACAGGTATGTAGCAGGGTGTAGATAAGATCCAGAGGAGCCAGCAAGCTGTCTCTCTCTGGGCTGAGCCAGCACTGGGAAGCATTCTGGGTCCGAACAGCACGGAGTGCCAACCTGGCCACTGGTTCCCTCATGTGAGTATATCCCTAATAAATAACCGGTTAATAACCTACCTCTTATTCCATTTGTATTCCTCCATAACCATGCACTTCAGACACAGGGCACAGAGGATCCAAGCTGCCTATGACCTGAATGCTGCCTTCCTGAGGACCAGTGATCATGGTACCAGAGGTGCCAAGAAAGTTTCCAAGAGAGGGGAGCAATGCCTCTGAACCATAACAATGAGTAGGATGGCATGATAATACCAGGAGTACAGTTGTAAAGATACCCTGGCAGTAATCAACAGTCCTCTGATTGGACTTAGTGCCCACTCAACAAGAAAAAATCCATGACTGTACTGGAAACCTAGCCATCCACTCAGGGCTAGTGAAGTAAGTCATAGATCTTGGAGGTGAACCTACAACTGTTAGCTTATCAATCACACCTGTATCACACCTGTGAACATTCTAAATATTTACACTTAAACTCCTATGTGTAGCTCTCACATCTTATCAACGAAAGTTGTCTTTGCAACAGACACCATCACAGAAAACCCACAACTGATCAAAATGTATTCCCTATCGCTGAAGTGATTCATCCACAAAACGATTCCTGGATTTAAAACTCAGGGATCATTGCAGAAGAGGGGGTGGAAAGACTGTAAAGGACAGAGGAAAGAGAAGTTTGCTGTGAGATTGTGCCTCCTAGAAATGTCAGAGAGGCTGCATCCATGAAGTCTCATCAGCATAGCTGCCTAAACAAGACGTGAACACCAATGGACATGCTAAGATAGAAGACAAAAAGGTCATGGAGCCTCAACCCGAGACAGAACTATAGGCAACTGGGGAATGTTGAGACTGGGAGAAATGGTCTTCCTTTCCCAATTGGTTATCCAATATCAAGTGGTCAGCCCTGATATCATATACATAAGGGTAACATTATATAGACTGAGCAAGTTGTAGTTGTACATAAACATACACACTCACTCTCAGGCACACTGTGAGGGTGTGTGTGTGTGTGTGTGTGTGTGTGTGTGTGAGAGAGAGAGAGAGAGAGAGAGAGAGAGAGAGAGAGAGAGAGAGAGAGAGAGAGAGAGAGAACAATTAAAGAAAAAGCTCATGAATTTGAGAGAGAGGAGCAAGGGAAGGATTGGATGGAAGACAGGGATGGGGAAATTATGTAATTATAATTTTAAAACTTTTAAAATTATTTTAAAGTTAAATCAGGTTTTTGGCAATAGAAAGTCTTACTTTTTTTGACATGAATTGATGCTGCCATGAGCACTGGAACATTGTGCTTGCAGATATGGCAGGAAAAGCATTCACAGCCTTACAAGCTGAGCTTATGTCTTTGAACACCACGACGACACTTTCTCGTCCACAAGGAGTGGCTGAGATAATTGGGCCTATGGCAGACAGTCTTTTGACCACCGAATTGAAGTCCTCTGTTTGTTTCAAGTTCTTCTTTGACCACCTGGCAAGGGGGGAAATGGGAGGAAAACAAGTAAGAATACCCATTGACACCTCTCTTCCAACACATACCTACAAGAAGGGGACAGAGACAATTCACTGGGAAGAGCAATGCTCCTTGTGGACTTTACAATCCTTATCCTTTGTTTATTTGTTTGTTTGTTTGTTTGTTAAGTATATTGGGACTTTACCTGTATGTATGTCTGTGTGATGGTGTCAGGTCCCCTAGACTTGAAGTTACAGACAGTTTTAAGCTGCCATAGGGGTGCTGGGAATTGAACCCTGGTCCTCTGGAAGAACACCCAGTGCTTTTAACTTCTGAGCCATCTCTCCAGCCCCCACAATCCTCATTCTTTAGTATGGTGTTGTGTTAGGCACCTCTAAGCTGTCTAACCTCCTAACTTGACGAGGCCTTTGATGAACTATTTGAAGCCCACAAAATTGGCATGGAGTATTCTGCTTTTTAAAGTAACATTTCTGATGGAAACCATACAGAAAACTACAACTGATAAAAGTGCAGTGTTGTGGATCACAGTCCCAGATGATACACCTACAATAAAAGTCCTGCACCTAAGGCTCAAGGGCCATCACAGAAGAGGGGACAGATTTTAAGGACCAGAGAAACAGGGAATTTGCTGTGAGACTGTCTTTCCTTGAAATGCCAGAAAATACATATACCCATGACGTTTCACCAACATGGCTGCCTAAACATCTGAACAAGGACACCACCACAGACACCATCCTAACAGGGAAGGGAAAAGCCCAGGAGTTTCAACCCTAGACAAAGAACTGCAGGAACCATGAATGTCAAACACGCAGGGCTGTCTCTTCAAAAGGAGAGGTGTATAACCTGTTTTCTGCCCAGAGGCTAGGAGCTGATGTATTTAATACCTTGTGACCCTTGTGATGTCGGTGCAGCCTAAACTACACCAGATCCTCCCCAGATCCTTATCTTGAGCTTAATTGTCTCAGTCAATTTATAGAATCTATCCTTATGGAAGATGTCACTTGTACTTTACAAAAAGTGGCTATGTAGTCCTTGTCTTAAGCTTTGTTGTGCACATAGGATTGCAATAATTATCACTGGGAAAATTTTTCCCCAAATTGTGCTATGCTTAAATATGCCTAAAATAAACTACCTGGTGTCAGGCTCCTGAAGTTTGAATGAGCACCTGCTACTTAGTCATGTTGAACCGGTGTCTTCTTGCCTCCCCTAGATGGTTGCTCTGCTGGCTGTGGTGGTTGAGAGACCCCTGCATTTCTTGAGATCTTTTTCTTGCTGTCTGATCTTTGGAGACTACTTTACTTGCCTGTATTTCCATTCCCCAGAAACTTTTGGGGAATAAACTTCCAAAAGTTTATTTTCTTAGAGTCTGGGCTCCATTTCTAGGTGAGTGGGTGTTTTGCCCAAATGAATGCCTGGAATGTTAGAAGAGGGCATGGGATCCCCTGAAACTGGAGTTATAAGTAATTGTAACATGTGGGTGCTGGGAGCTGAAGCTGGGTCCTCTGCAGGAGCATTTTCTGCTTGTAACCACTGGGCCATCTCTCCAGATTTCCTCTGATAGTGCACTGGGCAGCCCCACTCCTTTGGCACAGATACTGTGCACATCATCTCTGAGCAATACAGCTAGCAACCGTGGACCCCTACCTTCAGTGAGCTACATGCCCGCTTCTCCTCTAAACAATAGAATAGGTTTCTCCTCCCCCAACAACCATCAAACTTCATTTCTATTCAAATGTATTCCCAATGTATTTAGTTACAAAGGAAGGATAGGCTGGGCCAGCCTGAATTAGTTTTGATTGTGTATGCAGTAAGGCAAAACTGTATCCTCAAGTAAATTTATAGAGAGAATCTCCTATTTATTATCCAATGCCTATGTATACTTAAGTGTGTATGTAATTAAAATCAGGTGCACTATAGGAAGTAGAAAATTTATTTTTTGGCCTAATCTATCAATCATAATAGAGAAACACATTTGGCACATCCCTTAGTAACCAAACTCCTCCTTCTCTTGAACCCTAAAAAGGAAGAGGATGCAAATAATAACTGAGGCCCTTGACTAGATTCACTTGTGGCCTATTGCTCTCGTGTGTGTGTGTGTGTGTGTGTGTGTGTGTGTGTGTGTGTGTGTGTGTGTTGCTCTTTTGTGGTGTGTTCTGACCTATTCTATAGCTTTTCTCTGAATAAAATCTATGTGACCCTGTATTTCAATTTCTTGAATAAGAGACCAAGAACCTAGAAACACAAGCCCCAGGCCCCAACCCCTATAACATTCTACCAGGGCTTTAGCTACTCCTCATCCCAGCATCATACCCAGCCACTATTTACACGAGAAGGACAATATGGTAACAAATTCTTGACTTCTTTATTTAAGCAACATTCAGTTCCCACTCATTAGATAATTCTGCCTAATCTGTTAATTTCCATGGTGAGACCATTCTTCTTAGACTATAAAATCAACTCCACTTAAGCTGAGTTTACAGAATGGGCTAGGATTCCCTACAGAAATAGAGAATGGCAACTGTCTACGTCTGTATCTAGGACCTGGACATAGATTAGATACACACAGTCATCAACTAATGACAGTCCATGATACAATAATGCTAAGATCACTGTGGAACTGAAAAGTTCCTGTTGATTTTTTTTTTTTTTTAGTCATTCTAAAGTTGTAACGAAATGCACCATGAGTGTGTGAGTTTGTGTTGAGATAGGTATCAAGAAACCTCTATGCAACCAGTGATACATAGCACATAAACTTTGTGGGGTTTTTTTTTTTTTTTTTTTTTTTGGTTTTTTGAGACAGGGTTTCTCTGTGGCTTTGGAGGCTGTCCTGGAACTAGCTCTTGTAGACCAGTCTGGTCTCGAACTCACAGAGATCCGCTTGCCTCTGCCTACCGAGTGCTGGGACTAAAGGCGTGTGCCACCACCACCTGGCTTATAGAACATAAACTAATGTTTGGTGCATAATACCTCTCAATGATACATTGTTAGTTTATGTGTTTACAATACTATACTTTTATCATGATTCTAGAGTATACGTCTACTTACTAAGAAGCATTCCTGTAAATCTGCTGCAATGTTAACACCAGCAGCAGCCTCATAATGTTGTGTTTCTCACCTCTTTCTTGGCAGGGTACTAAGTATATTAACTGCTTTGTGGTATTTCCATTTGAGCATATAATCACTTTGATCATGTTCACTTGTTTGTCTTTTGAGACAGGCTCTCACTATGTAACCTTGACTACCCTCGAACTTGCTATATCTCAGACTCATGGAGATTCACCTGCCTGTGTCTCCCAAGTAATGGGGATACAGATGTGAGCCACTGCACCTGGCAATGTTCACCTCCTTTATTTCCCTTTTTATCCCCTACCATAGATTCTTTTATATTCATTTTAGTCCCCCTTTTACTTTTGTGCCTCTTCCTGGCCAATTTTGCATATAAAAGAAAATATGTATGCTGATTCGTATTATTATCAATTCAATTTGACACAACTCAGAATCACCTGGAAATAGAAAACCTCAATCACCTAGATCAGATTGTCCTGTGGGCATATCTATGGGACATTGCCTTATTAATTGGTATAGGAGGGTACAGGCCACTGAGGACAGCATCATTCCTTAGGCAGATAGGCCCAGTCTGTATAGGAATGGTAGCTAAATATGAGCCTGAGAGGGAGCAAACCAGAGATCAAGACAGCAAGCAGCATATCTTTACAGCTGTTGTCTCTAGATTTCTGCCTTGAATTCCTTCCTGACCTCACTCGGTGATTGATAATGACCTGTATAAGCCAAATAAATCCCTCCCCAAGTTGCTTATTGTCAGAATGTTTTATCACAGCAACAGAACGTGAAACTCTGTACCTGGCTTGTTTTGCTTAACATGATGAGCTCCTACTCCATCCACTTTCCTGCAAACAACATAATTTTAACCTTTACAACTGGGAATAAGTCCACTGTATATATTCAACACATTTTCACACCTCCACCCACTAATAGGTCCCTGGCCACTATGAATCATTGTATGATAAGCAAGAGTATGAAGGAGGCACTTGTATCCTGACTTTGATTCATTTGTTATCACCTCTTTGATTACATCAAGAGACCACATCCAGAGGATGACACACCATCTAGGCTTATGTAACTGTGGTGTTTGCATAACGATGATATTGATTACCTGTAACCAGTGCATTTCTCAGAATGTGTCTATAGGGTTTAGCAGCAAATGGCCATAAATGAGAACAGAACTGGTTTGTGAGATTATTGAGGCTGACACGTGGTTTTCTCACTAACATTGGACATTTGTGGTGTTAGTGAGAACACTGGAAAATCCAGCGGGAGTTATCTTTGTAGTCTAGAAACCAAAGTTAACTTGAGGCTAGAATTCATCCCTCTTTATGGCATCTTAGTCTTTTCTATTAATGTTTTAAATAGATGGAATGACAGGCCTACCACACTATTTTATTCAATACCTACTGATTTAAATGTAAATCTCATCTGAAAAATACTTTCATAGTAACACCTGGACAGGTGCTCAAACAACTGGTACCATAGATTCACCAAGCTGTCATGTTTATTTAATCATCCTGTAACCTGGTTACAGTATCCTATAGTCTCACTTGGAATGCTCAAAAAGGAGGATTTTTGAGGCCAAGTGTTTGAGGCTAGCCTGAACAACACAGTAAGACTGCATCTCAAAAAAACTAATAACCAGCAGGTAGCCTGATAGTGAGATCTCCTTTCGTAGAAGAACTCAGGGACCTTGATGAATCAACATTGGTGACCGAGTAGCTGATAAGTGCGACCCTTTCAGATTTGACCCTAATCCTGGCTCTGATATATCAGCAGAGTCATTGGAAGGCACTCTCCTGGACCCAAGGTTCTGTCTAGAGTTTTCACAGCTCTGAGTGCCTATGGGTCCTACCTCATTTGGAGGGACAACTCCTAAATGGGAGAAGTAAAGAGACATGGGAGCCTTTCATTGACTACACTTCATCATGTACATTTTTTATTTATCTTGAATCCATATGTAGTAAAAGCACAAATACTTTCTTGAAAGCCTACCCAGCAACCAGGTAGAGAGTTTAGGTTAAGCTGCCAAACAATCATGTCTTTACAGTACAACACAGTAAATATGATAGACACGGATGGGGTGTCCATTGCTTTTCTGAGCATGAAAAGTTTGACTCCAATTGTGTACAGCACAGGGGGAGCAGAATCGATCCTGCTGTCTACTACCAGGCTCTTGTCTCTGGTTACTACTGTGTTGTTTTAACAACAACAAAAAATATTCAGAATCTAAACTAATGTCCCTGTATTGATCATTCAGCCATCTTCTGTTCAAGACTGCTTTGCCACAGTTTCCAAAAGAAAAATGAGGCCCAGAGCCCATGAATATGACATATTGAGCCGATAAATGTGGTTTACAATTATAATTTGCACGCTGTTCCAGAAAGGATTTACAATATTATAAAAAGTGGGGTCTGGCATCCCGCCAAGTTCTCCAACAGGGATAATATACCACCATCTGGACTCTAGATGCTTGGAAATCTGTTTTTCTGCATGGCATGGCTTTGGGGACTACTGATTTATTTACATAACAGAATGGAAAAAATTTTGTCAAAAGCCAATGTGATGTAGCATCTGACCCAATGACTACTATCACTATGCACTACGGCTTGCCTGTGTTCCCCAGAAAGTCATAAATCAGAGCCTTGATTCTCCATGCCATGGCAGTTGGGGCTTTAATAAGAGGGATTAATACTCATCTCATGGGACTATGTTAACTCTCATTCTAACAGGACGAAATTAGTTTCATTACAGGTTGTGAAGGTATCTCCACCAATTAAGTGTTTGCTGTGCAAGCATGGAGACCCAAGTTCAATCTCTCTCTCTCTCCTCTCTCTCTCTCTCTCTCTCTCTCTCTCTCTCTCTCTCTGTCTCTGTCTCTCTCTCTCCCATATGTCCCCACTTGCCCTTCCAACCTCTGCTATGTTTTAAAGCAGTACTAGACTCTTATCTTGGACTTTCTATCATCTAGAACCATGAGCCTAAGGGGAGTTCTTTCTTTATAAGTTATCAAGTCTCAAATACTCTGCAACAGCAATATAAAATGGATTAAGTTCTTTTTAGGGAAAGGCTTTGCCCTCTCTGTGCAAGTGAAGATACAGTTTCTAAGCACTAAACATGTTTGCTTGTGTTCAATTCAAGGTTCCTATGGTTGGCTCAGTCTAATATTTACACACATTAAAGTACACATTCTTACTGCAAGTTATATGTATCAAAATTCAAAATTGCACCTGCCATTTTTTCCCAGCATAGAGTCACCACATGGTATCTTATCAATCTCATTTTACAGATGAGAAAGGGCAGGAGAGTCAGCAGTGCTACAAGCAACATTTAGACAAGGATGTCGTTCTTCTTGATAATATTCTTCAGGGACATCTAGGTTTGTCTTCAAGAATGGATGCTCTTAGGAGTACCAGTTAAGTCACAAGAGAGTAAGAATGGGAGTTGTCAAGTGTCTAGACAGTTATGTTACAAGAAGATAGGGCAAGAATCACAGGCAAGACAGCAGATTCCCTCTGGCATCTGGTAGCCAGAAAAGGATTCAGGATAGAATCCTTATGAAGTAGCCCCCACCATTAGTAAGGCTTTCTTGGATCCCTTGCAAGTTAATTTACATCACAGCCCGATTCTTTTTCTACTTCTCCCAATGCTACCCTCATGCCCCCTTTGATGACACCAGCTACTCTTTTGTGCTCTTATTTCTATATGAGTCCTTGCTTCTCAGAGACCCTAAACAAGCAAACAAAACCCACAAATGAGCAAAGCAGACTGCACATTTATGGAGAGCAGATGTATGTTTGTAGAAAGAAATGTGTGGATAGGTGTCCACCCTTGGATGTTGATATTCAAGCCATATTTTCATAGGCCATGCTAGGATGTTAAATAAGACAGGTCACTCCATTTGAAGGCATCAGACCTGAAAACAATGCTGAAATTTTGTTTTAAAAAATAGGCCTTCAAACCTGGTCACATCATCTCAATGTGAATATCTTGAAATAATTTTACCCTTTAAAAGTTCAGTGTCACTGCATTATCCTGAAAATACCATGGCTCTAATGACCACTGTCCCCTTTATAACATAAACTTGCTATCTTTAGTATGAGGGTTTGTTTTTTTGAGATTATAATTTAGTACATTATTTCTCTCTTTCTTTTTCTCCCTCTAAACCCTTCTATCTACCCCTTCCAAGGCTTCAGATTTCAAAGATACCAATACCACGAGAAATGAGCAGTCTATTGCAAACCTAGAATGCAGATATTTTCAAACAGTGTGTGTGTGTGTGTGTGTGTGTGTGTGTGTGTGTGTTATATATGTACCTATATGTTCCTAAATGTAACCTTTTCTGTCTTGTAATGTTATTGTATATATGCTTTCAGGACTGACCATTTGGCATTGGACCACCAGCTGGTGTGTTCCTCCCTGCAGAGGGCCACTTCTACTACTCTCAGCTTTCCTCTGTTTCCTAGGTTCTTTTTATAGGGTTGAGGCCTTGCATGCTTTTCTCTGTCCCCTTTGGCATGTCCATTTGTGTCACCCTTGTTCAGCTCACATTTGGGCAGCCATGTTGGTGAGACTTTATGGCTATAGCTTCTGATATTACTAGGAGATACAATTTCACTAGCTATGGATTTTTAAATCCAGCTGGCAAGGTCTGACACTGAAGACACTAGGGGACAAGTGAGACAAGGAGATTTGCTAACTAGGATAATGAGCCCAGAGGAAGCTTCTAGTACAGGCAAATTCATGAGCTTGACCTCTGTATGTTATCATCTTAAGATCAGAGAGAGCTCTGCTTTTATTCTGTCAACTTGCTAACAGACTTTTGAATATCTACAATGTGCAAAGCACAGGTGTCAACTTGTATAAAAGAGTCAGCAATGATAGGAAAGCAGCAAATAGAAACATGCCAGCTGTTGTGAACAAGAAAATGTACAAAAGTAGGTAACGCTTAAGACTTAGCGCACCGAATCCACTTTCTCACCTAGCCTGAGACCAGCTAGTCCTCACTGGTGATAACTACAAAAGCTCCCAGTAGGTCTTCAGCTTCCACCTATTTCCATGAAGGCCAGAGAGTACTTGAACATCATCTTGTTCCTCCCTTGCAATGGCTCTCTCTGTAAAAATGTGTAAAATGTGGCAGACTGGGGATAAAGCCAAGTGTCTAGTCCTTACTCATACTAATGGTGATACTTATTGGTTCCCTCTCCAACAATGCTACTCCGGTCCTGCAGATCTCTGCTCTCTAGACTAGAAGGCAGTAGGTGGAGGTGACAGTGACACATCACTCTTTCCATCTCCATGAGTTTTCTTGCACTTAAGGCTTCTTCAGTAATTTGGGATGTGTTAAGTAGAAGCTGTGTTCTCTTATACAAGGTAAGGCCCATTTCCATATCCTCCATGTTTCACAAAGACCAAATTAAATCTTTTTTCTTCTTTCTTTCTTTTTTTTGGGGGGGGGAGTAGAATGAAGAGTTTCTGTGACCATTCTGTGTTTCCTTAAACATGAGTATGAGACAAAAGTCTAAGAACTTACCTGGCAACAACTGTGCACATGGGCGGCTCATATGTGTTTTCCTTCCAAAAATGACATTTCCTGCAATTGTCACTTATATTGTTGATCATCTTTCTTTTCCATGAGGGCATTTTGTTTGGCTTTGGAGTCAGACTAACCTCTTTTGGCAACTTATGTCTTTCTAAGATCTTTTCCAATCCAGATAATTCACCATTCTCACCTGGTGATAGGATAAGTATTAATACGATCCAGTGTTCCCTTCCACCTCTGCATAGCAAGATCCTTTCAAGTCTTTGTGGGTGTACCTGGTGCTGAGGATGGAAACCAGGGCCTCATATGTGTTAGGTAACCCTCTCCATCTGTATACGTGCAATTTAGTAGTTACTTCTCAGCTCTGCCATCCCTTTGTCCCAGCAATATTTCTTACATGTTAGTCTAAGAGATGTATTGGCTAAAATGCATGCATTAGGTGTACTCAGACCACTGAAAATATTGATGGTTTCTTATGTATAGTTTGTAAATTAATAGTAAGTTATAATACTATTATTATTACTTATTGTTATACATTTTCAAACTTCTCAGAGGAAATGGAATGAGTAGAGATTATTGTCTTACTCAATATGAAACACCATCTTCCTGCCATTTTGCCTTAGAACTATTCTGCCTTTGGAGATCCAATAACTGAGACTTGGGATTTAAACCTTTGTTTCCTACTGTTGGGACTCTCTGGGTGGTCAGCAGCAGTTAGCATGATAGAATGGTGGAACTGCCCCAAGAGGATGAGGCAACTCCAGAGGTTTACACCTGTTATCAGAACTGGTGGGCATAACTAAGGAAGGAAGGATTATTTTGGCACATGGTTTAGAGGGTTTCATACATGGTCACTTGATCCCAGAAGCTTGGGCAGAATATCACGACTGTAGGAACAAGTGACATATTCCTCTTCCACTGACTTTCCTAGAGGGAAGAGCTGAGATAGAAAAAGACAGAAACCCAGCATGCCGCCATGCTTTCCCCTGCTTCCAAGTCTTAATACACCAGAGCAGAGGGGAGCAGAATCAATTTAAACACACTGAGAGTGAGTTAAGAGTACTTATGTCAGAATTGATATTTCATTATCAATATAACTTCCTCAAAGCTAAGCAGTTTGCCTGCAATTCACCTAAAGTTAACAACAAAAGTCAATAGAATTGATCAAAAGGAGGAGCTAAGGCAGGGGCCGAGTGACAAAGTAGCTGATTTGTGAAGTTCTGTACTAAGCTGCTTAAATTCTGCGTGTGTTCCTTATGTAATATGCAATGTAACCTGGATATATGGGTTTATGCATAACACTCATAACACACTGGATTAGGAAGTAGAGATTAACTTGAATACAACCAATTTTGCTCCAACAGTTGAAAGTGTATCAGTCTCTACAAAGCTTAGTTTAAATCAGTGTGGAAATTTCTATTTTGTCTTCTCAGTTTATGGGCCCAGGTGGCTGCCATCAACCAGGATCTTCCAGTTAGTCACAAGAAATTCAATGTTGAAGTCCATTAAGTTCTACAAATCAAATTCTCAACCATCCTGACCCAGTTTTAGGACTACTAGGCCACTCCAAACCACAAAAAAGTAGAGACTTCTCACAGTATGGAGTGGCCTATGCCTATGGGCTCAAGATGGCTTGAGCCCAGAAAATTCAGACCAGCTTGAGCAACCTAGACTCCATCTCAAAATAGTAATACTAAATATGAAAAAATATTTAAAATTGCTTTATAGTTCTTCCTAGCAACGGGAGAAGTGAATAGTAGAGCATTGAATAAAGGAAAGAAGTTTGTAATCTGACCCTCACCTTGAAAGTTCTCCTGCTAATCTCAAAATCAAAGGTACATCTTAATTTGTAACTTGAGAGCATTTGGATGGCTCATTTTCATCTTTCCATGGGTGCGTTTTGCAGAGACGAATAATAACTCATCTTGGCTCATGGAAGACTACATCAAGAAGACATGATGACTTCTACCCATGGGTAAATTCACAGCCTGAGAACACAGGCTTACCAAGACATGATGTGACACAGGTCTCATGAACGGAGACACCCACAATGTCAAGAAATTAATGCCCAGGGCTAAGAAAGTTCACACTGGCATGCCAATATAAACATTCTCATTCACCCTCTACCCACTTACATTTGATTTTGTCACTTTCACTTCTGTAGGAATGAAGCATTTCCACCATATTACTTGGGAGCAGCTTGTGAAGGTTAGAGAGAAAGTTAAATGTCTGACACAGGATGTTGGGTTGAGCATAATTTTTCGGTGTTGTCTCCGGAATTAAATTTGTGAGTGAAGGATTGCTGGTGGCTGTTTCCATGATGACTTGTTAAGTAACAGAGAAAAGGAAGTAGTGCACATGAAACATGCCAGCGTGTAGTTCGACTGTTCTTTGCCTCAGCTTGATGCCATCTCCAGGAGGAGATGCTGGAACCCACTTTCTGGTCTCTGACTACTTTGCATTCTGAGTGTCACAATGGCCCAGGTCTTGGTCTGGAACCCTCAGAACTCATTCTGATCTTCAAATCAGAGAAAATTGACCCATGGAAGGTGTCCTGCCAAATAATTCAGAGATTTTCCACAGAAATTCCAGTTTCCTGTCTGGATATGGATGAGCTCTGAGGAGAAAAATCGAGTTTTTCCTGAAAGGAAGTCAATTGGTGTGCACATTGCCCGTGCTGTCTTCCCATCCTAGAGGCCTTGTACCTGGTGTGTGCATAATTAAGACTCCATAGAACTAGGAGGCCCCAAAGAGAGTGGGCACATCAGCATTGCCCCTGTAGACCCAAGGAAGAGCTATATGGTCCTAAACTAAGGAAATGTCCAGAATAATACAGGTAAGGGAACTGTCTGCTTTTTACTCCCTTTTCCAGATTACCAAAGGAAACAAACAAATAAAACCTCTTCAGCGCTGGTTTTTCTTCACGGTAGACCAAGGAGCAGAGAGAGGATAATGCAAGTACTAAATAACAAGGAGCAACTGAGAAGCAACCAATAACCACTCCCCAGTTTGCAATAAAAATGCAAATAATAGCATGGTTAAGAGTTGCCCCTTGGTTGTCAGCACACTGGCCAGCCAGGGCACCAGTTTCCCCATATTACTCAACTCTTGTTGAACTAACTGGCTTGCAAGCCACATTGCAAAATGGGGAGAACACGTGCCATATACTCTCGGCAGCAGCTGCTCATGTTGGCCAGCTTTTTAGCTATGCTGCAAAGCCTTGGCCAAAACCTTAAAATAACATCACTGTAACCTATGGAACATTTGTATCCAAAGCAGGAAATAAGAAATTCCACTTTTTTGTCCTCAACTTTCAAACTAAAAAAGTGAAGGCTTAAAAACAAAACAAAAACTGTATCAACCCATTTAAAACATTTTATAGAACTAACAGGAACCACTTCTCAGTATTGCATAAGTATTTTTGGCTGGAGAAAGGAGTTGACTGAGAAAGGAGGACAGAATATGTTGGCAACTAGAACACACATACCCGGACTTCTTTCACCTAAGCAAAGTTGAATGCATAACTCTGAGCCTTCATTTTCATAAATAGAAAGTGAAGGAACATATTTTAAATATGCTCTTTATCCACTGTAAATTGACCTATACTGCAACAAAATATAATGTATGCTAGGGAGCACAAGGCCAGAACAAGCAAGGCTAAGAAATAAAAGAATGGGAAAGACTTACTACCCATGGCAGGCCAACACAGGGGTTATTTCCAAAGCAGTGTCCCCCTAGAGGAAAACAAAACAAAACATGGGGATTTCATTGCAAAAACTAATACATATTCCTATAGGAAAGCCCTTTAAGAATGGGCACATTCTTGAGCATGCTCGGTTTCAGGTGATAATTTAGGAAGGAAAAAGGATAGGCACATTTACTCAGCTCAAGGTTGTAGAACACATGCTTGAAATGTTAAAAATAGTGAACAGAAATGCATCTGGGCATGCTTACCTTGCCTCGTAAAGTTTGGGCTGAAAAAAATGGCATGTTGAAACTGTATTAATATAGGAATTTGTTCTTAAATGGTGCCTGCCTTTAGTGACTAACAATGTTTTATTTATTTGTGTTTTTTTTTTTGTTGTTGTTTGTTTGGCTGTTTTTTGTTTTGCTTTCTTTTTAAGACAGGGTTTGATTATGTAGCCCTGGCTGGCCTAGACCTCCATAAGTAGACTAGGAAGGACGGCCTCGAATTTACAGAGATTGGCTTGCCTCTTTCTAATGAAAGCTAGGATTAAAGGTGTACACAACTATACCTGACTGACAATATATTCTAAGTTGTCACTCTAAGTAGCACTTGATGGGATGTTCATAGTATCTGAAGCTATGGGCATTGGCTGAAACCAGGTGGTGATTGCTAAAAGTTACCCTTGGGGGAAAAAATTGACTATTTTCAAGAAGACAAAATAGGAGCTGGGAAGATGACTAAGTAGTTAAGAGCATTTCATTTGCTGCTCTTGCAGAGGACCCAGGTTTGGGTCTCAGCACTCACAGGGCAGTTTACAACCATTTGTAACTACAGGACATGGAGTTCCAACCGTTTGGGTCTCAGCACTCACAGGGCAGTTTACAACCATTTGTAACTACAGTTCTAGGAGTTCCAACACCCTCTTCTAGCCTCTACAGGTGCCAGGCAGGCAAAAAACACTCATAAAATAATCAAAATTTTAAAATAGAATAAAACCCTAAACACGGAAAACAATATCAAACATCAATATCAAATGCGGTCAAGGAGGCAGAGAGATGGGAACTTAAAAATCTTCTTTCATTGTTGGTGAAAATGGAAACAAGGACAACTGTCATGGAGAAAAACAGGACTGCCATGCAGCCAGAGCTTTAAAAACAGACCTAGTATACAGCCAACCATCCACTTCTGGGTAATTCAAGGTAAATAAGATCCTTGTGCCGGAGAGACACCTGAGTACCTGTGTTCTTCAGAGCACTATAACAATACTCATCATTAGGGGAATAAGCCTGGCTAGCTGTCCATCAACAGATGAATGGATAAAGAAAGTAGACATAGGCTAAGCCCGGTGGCTTTTAATCCCTGCACTCAGAAAGCAAGGGCAGGCAGACCCTGTGAGTTTCCGGCTAGCCTGGTCTAAATAGAGAAGCCCTGCGTTAAAAAGGAAAAGAACTGTCAAGAAACAAACCATCAGATGGATTTTTTTTTAACAATAAGTGAGACTTGTAGCAGCCATTGTCATTTGCTTTTTTCTGTTTGTTTGTTTGTTTGTTTTTGGTGGGGGGGGGTTCGAGTCAGGGTTTTTCTGTGGGTTTGGAGGCTGTCCTGGAACTTGCTCTTGTAGACCAGGCTGGTCTCGAACTCATAAGAGATCCGGCTGCCTCTGCCTCCTGAGTGCTGGGACTAAAGGTTTGTGCCACCAATACCCAGCCTGTCATTTGCTTTTTTCTAAGCATACTGTGGTAGAAAGAACTTTAGGGTGTGAGTTCAGTGAGGCAGGAAGACTGGCCACATACTGCTGACAACTAGCCTGATGATCTTTGTCCAAGCTCCTAGGAAGGGCGTAGCCTGTAATTCTGTGTCTAGATGCAACGAATGCTTGTGTTTTAAAATCTTATTTCCAATTCTTCCCTCCAATGATCAACACCTTCTCAAACCATGTATTTGATGAGAGAATTCTGCTGTGCCCAGAACCTTTGCCTTGCTGCAGGAGAGAGTGAGTTGTCATTCTGGCCAGTGGCTGCTCAGGCCTTGCCACCAGCCTTATTAACTAACTTGATCCTGCATTGCAAGGCAGGGCAGGGCAGGGCAGCACCTGGGGTTGTTTGTCTTCACTTACAGCTAGCTTGTAGGTAACAGGCAAACCCCTTTCTTTTTTGTTGTTGTTTCAAAGAGGGCTCCTGTGTCTCCGGAGCACCTTCCACTGCCAGCAAGCCACAGCTGTGCATTTGACAAGGCCAGCTGGCTCCCAGAAGGAAGAGTGTTCAGCAACGTTCAGAGAGAGAAGATGATCTCCAAGTTTCTCAAAGGAAGCGTCCTAAAGAGGGTGTTTGGCTCACAGCAGCTGAGGTGGGAGAGCCCCAACTGCCAGAAAGAGAATCCCAGCTCCACGTGCCCTAGCTCCAGCAAGTAAGTCCTTATTGAAAAGTAGACGCAAACTCAAAGTAAGCTCATCCCAGATGGCCAGGAAAACAGCTCTGTACCAGCATCCAGAGAACCAGAAGGCTTAGGAGAAACTGCAAACCCAGGGGTTAGGTCCAGCAGGAAGAGCAAAATAAAATAGGAACCACGTGACTGAGAATGTGTTCAAAGCACCAGCTGTACCACCAGCACCGATTGTGGGTGGGATTCATCAGGCGAGTGCTTCTCTTGCTTGGGGAGATGTTTTTAAATACATCACTACTGTCCACGGTAGGAATAAGTAGATTTGAAGCAAAATTCCTTGTATTATTTTTTTTTGGAATAAAATAGTAGCTTCCCAAATAAGATAGTATTGTTAAGGAGACAAACATTAAAGGTTAATTTTGTTGTTGCTGTTTGTTTTGTTTTGTTTTTTTCCAGAGTCTCACTATGTGGCTCTGCCTGTCCTGGAACTCACTCTGTAGACCACGCTGGCTTTGACAACACAGAAATCCACCTACCTCTGCCTCCCAAGTGCTGGGATTAAAGGCATGTGGCACTACTCCAGGCAAAGGTTGAGTTTTAAAATAACACTTTAAAGTAGAAAAAAGAAATCCTTCAAAGTAAAATCATTTTACTCATGTTTCTTTAAAAGGAATTATACAGGCTCAAGAAAGCTGGGATACTCATGATTAATGATTAAAAAAAAAAAAACTAAACCCACCAGGAGGTGGTGGCACACACTATTAGTCCCAGCACTCAGGAGGCAGAGGCAGGGGTATCTCTGTGAGTTCGAGAACAGCCTGGTCTACAAGAGCTAGTTCCAGGACAGCCTCCAAAGCCACAGAGAAACCCTGTCTCAAAACAAACAAACAAACAAACAAACCAAACCAAAACCCTAAGTTGAGACGAAGAGAATCAGCTACTAATGAAAGGTACAAATGTTAGTTCAAACAGTTGTGAACTGCCATGTGGGTGCTGGGAATCAAACCTGTGTCCTCTGCAAAAGCAGCCAGAGCTCTTAACTGCTGAGCCATTTCTCTAACCTCCAATGTAGTATCTTATTTAAGCATCACAAAAAAAATGTGTATTGTTAATTAGAAAATGTTGATCAACTTCGTGAAAATGTTGACATCATCCTGCTGAAGGAGATTCTGAGGTCATACATCCCCAAAAGGTGAGTATCAAAATATGAAAGGCACCGGGAGACAGGCAGAAATGGAAATTTTTTTCTCTGAAGAATTACTAAGAAATCTTCTTCTTGGCTTTTCTTTGCATAGCCCAGGGCAATAAAGACATGTAAGTTGAGGTGCTTTCCACAATAGTATATTTCTGTCATTATTGTCATCTCCGCCGAAAGAAGAGAAGCTAAGGTGGGTTTACTGAACTCTCTTAAGTTCCTCGCCCAAGGCTTGTTATCATTTCTCTCATTCAAAGGAAAAGGCAGAACCAGAGAAAACGAGACCAAGTAAGCCAGACACATGAATGTTACACAAACACAACACACATCTGTACACATATAATTTCTGTTTCCAGAGGAGAGAGAAGAAAAATTTCCAGCTACATATACTCCAGAAAAGATTGGCTAGGAGTTCATGAACCCCAACTCACCATTTTTTAAGAAATTGTAAATTGAAAACAGTCACTTAATATATTTACAGCTCAAGTTTCTCAGTTACAAATACGAACAGCTAGTAGTAACTGCTTCATTGAATAGAATATTAAATAGGTAATTCATATAAAATGTTCAGCAGTATGGCTGGCACCCTTAAAATGTCATGTATTCTGGCAATTATTATTTGGCAGTAATTAAATTAATTCAAGCATTTTCTGAATTACTACTATCTGCCTGACATTCTGCTAGATTGAATAAGGGTAGATCTTGTCTTCAAAGTGTAGAAGAGATACACATCTTTTGATGAAAAATTATAACATTAATAAATGACTTATGCAAATCACTATAACACAACCCAAAATAGCACCTTGGAGTGAGTGGATAGGTGTTTCTTTTTCCTCAGCAGTCAGGAAGGATGACAAGTGAGCTAGAACAATTTGACTCCAGTTTAATCCTGCAGGTTAAAAACAAAACAGAAGAGCTGATAAAAGGGTGAGCTCAGCAAAATTGTGCAATTATCTAACATGATTGACAAGTACAAGGAGTTAGAGAGGAAATGTGAAAGCAATCACTTCAAGCTAGACTGAAGAATTAAGATTTCCTTCTTCAGGCCTTGAGGGAACATCCGACAAGGCTGTATGTCAGAGCTACAGGACAGAAAATACTCTGAAGGAGGGAAGCACCTAGACCTCCAAGAAACCTGCCGGGAATGAGGCCTCCACAGACCTTAGTTTTTCTCTTCGTCGGTTGATTGTACCCCTACTACGGGTCCCACCCAGTTTTAAGTGAGATGGGTAACATGATGAACTGGGCAGGCAAGACCCATCCCTTACTACTATGGATAAACAGGTGATTTTTAAGGACAACAAGTAAACAGGGCTCATAAACAAGACTGTGAGTTGCACAAAGGAGTAAACAAAGGGTTATGATATAGAGAGTAAGGTAGGCAGGAAGGGCTTCTTTAAACTTTTCTGGGGGTGGGGGAGAACAGACTAAATGCAAAAGAGGAAGACAGACATTTACTGGGTGGGTTTGGGGAGTTAATCAAAGATCTTTGAAACATCATGTTTGTTATATAAATATATACGTATTTTTCTAGAAGATGAACGGGACAGGTCTCCCGCTCCTACAGACATTAAAGAGGCAGTGTAGTTCAATGCTTATTGAACCTTTCAGAACTTGAGTCTAAGGCCTGGTGTTCAGTCAGACAAAGTATTATCAACAAACAATTTAATTTTTTTTTCTCCTCAAAGTTGGATATAGTGGCGTGTCTTTTTAATCCCAGCACTCAGCAACACCAGAGCAGAGATCTCTCTGATCTGAGGCCAGCTTGGTCTACACAGAGAGTTCCAGACTAGCCAGGGCTACAGAGAGAAATGCTGAATCAAAAACCAAAACAAACAAAACCCCTCAAATGCCATTACTTTATTATGCTGACACTTTTAGTAGTCATTTACTTATATACAGAGTGGCTCTTAAAATTTTTCCCTATACCAAACTGTTCTGGTAAAAGGCACTTACATGAAAGTTCAGTTATAGTATATGTAATTTACATATATTATTTCTCTCTTTTCCACTTAATTTGTGGAGGTGGCAAGAGATGCTCATTCAGGGTTACAAAAAATATAAACGTATCCTAGACAGGAAAAAAAAAAAAAAAAAAAAAGGTGGGCTAGGGATATTATTTGAACAGATGCTGGAATGGAGGTCTGTGGGCCATGACCTGGGTACCACAGGCCTACTGGCCACAGCAAGAGTCCGCAACCCCGCCCCGAGAAGCTCTGTGGCGCCTCACCAGGGTCAAGAAGGCCCACGGGTGGCTAGAAAGCCCAAAACCTTGGGAAGGAAAGCAATGGAGAAAGGGTAAGGAGGCCCTAAAAGGCCTGAAAGGTCCCAGAAAGTTTAGTGGCCTGAGAAGGACCAGCAGTGAGCTAAAAGACTCCAGAAGTTTCCCAGTGGGCTGACAAGGACTAGCAAAGCCAGGGAAGCCTGGGAGAAAGAAGGCAGTGAGGAGCAGGGACCCCTCAGCGGGTGGGCACTGGGGATGTCAGGTTGGCTGGGTTGCCCGCAGGGCTGGTGGGGCT